TGGCGATACTCACTGACGATGCCGGCGAAACGTTTGGGAATGTACCACGTCCACGGTTCAACTTTGGAAACGGTCATGCAGACAATGAACCCCGGACTAGGTGCGTTCCAATAAGTCTTCCTACCAATATGAACATGTTGCGAAAACAAGGTCAAATAACCTCTATACAACGAAAGGAGACTGCGATCACACAAAAGCCCACACCATCTTGGTCTTCATACTTTCGATATAATAATTATAAATCACTATCTTGAATTAAGATTTAATTTTAAATGACATTTTGTCTTTTAATATTCATTCTTATTTCTTTCTATAGAAAGTATGACTGAAGGAATTTTGTCTCGTCTGAAACAGGTAGAAACAGTTCCTGTTATTTGGTTTCGTGTATAAATCGGATTTTGAGTCATCTCATGTATATTCTGGTTAGTCACTTTATTTTGATCGATAAATCTCTTCACACACCGCCTCGCGAATCCCATGAATCGTGCTGAGATTTTGTCTGTTTTGCCTCGACAGATATCTTTAAAATATACGAGCATAATTTTATTAAAATTCTTCTTATTTTCAGTGTAAAAAACTTTCTTTAAAATAATATGCTGCATCGAAGATGTCGGTTGCTATGAGTCAGATGCAGCGTTGCCTAGATCCGGCGAACTCATTCTAACCGGTTTTGTGAAGGCCAACATTCTACGTTAAGACGAGCTTTCTTCTTTTTCCTGTGAAGCCACATCATTAACTCCTTCCACTTGGCCCTTTGACCGAAATTAACCCGACTACCAGATTCCAAAATAATATTCACGTTAAACAGGTTTCGTGATAATCAATATCACTTAAATAAGAATTGTAGTCTCGCAGGGTCGTTTAATGTGAACGAGGTTGAATGTACTCTCAATGCAATGTTTATGCATTAAATTTCGTTTTGAGTAGATTTTTGAGACTGCTTATATTTCACGACTACCCACAAGCCATACATTTCCCATATCCCGTCATTATATGGTACATTATTCAGGCGAAGGAAAGTTTGGTTTCGAATAATCTCTTGTTTCATACTTTTTGAGCTTACTTTCATTTCTTCCTACCTTACTTTACTCATTCGCCTGACAGCCGCACCGAGGAAATGAGACAAGATGGAATCGGTTCTGCCACAAGACAAGTGACGTTCCAATTTTTACTGATTGACTATAAATATAATAAATGCTGATTGTCATGTTGTGTAGAGCAGCCACTCGCCTTAGTTTCGTGTTTGGGCAAGTAATCGAGTAAGCGAATAAAACGAATCTTTTAGTTTATAATTATTGAGCCCACTTCCAGTTGAAGTGAAAGGGTTTGGTGAAGCGAATCGAAGAAGATGACAGCCAATTCTTCTTGACCAACAGTTGAACAGCCTTACTGGAACATTCATGGTGATGCTGTTTCTGAGGCAATCTCGTTCGATTCCGGTGAAAACGTGCTTGCATTTCGTCCGTCACATGACGGGCATCATTCTTGCAATCACATGCATGCTAATGAGCCAAGAAAAATGTTGAGTTTACCTTCGAAGGCCGATCCCATGAAGGCACATAAACACACACAAACAGGCAGACACATTCAACCGCTTCGTGGTTACCAGTTTAGCTACTACTTGAACTAACCAAATCACTTTATACCTCATCAAACAGTTTCGATCTGGGGTATATATACAGCATGTAAGAATGAGTTTTCTTGACTAGTCAGTCTGAATATGGTTGAAAGAATGGTACCCTGTCCTTAAAATGTACGTCATTCGACGGACGAAAGTTTAGCCTTTTTACTAAGCAGTTTTTCGAGACTAACAGTCAATCAGATTCATAAGTTGTGTTCACCCTATTTCGGTTAAGCTGATGAAGGACTGGCAGTTGATGTCTCCCACATTGATATGAATAGAGCTGACGTTTCCATTGAATTTCCCATCGCCTTGCTTTCCCATCCAGGCTGAAGTGGACTGCAATTTCGACTTTTCATAGGTCCTATCGACACCCCGAGTGGGAGTCCTTCATCACCTTAAACGAAATTGGGTGAATACATCTCATACTACTGATTTACTGGTAGTCTCGAAAACCTACTCAATTACGAAAAAAAGTGGTCGTCAATTGTTATAGCAAATATAAATTTGTTTCATCGGCAATCCCAACACAGAATAGGATATGGAAAATGCCTGACCTTCGTTGAAATTCACATCTGTCCTCTGACCCAAGGGCACTCGTGGCAATGAACGAGTCGAGGTTGCACGTTGCACTGTCATGGTTCGACTCCCGCTTGGTGTGTTGATAAGACCGATGCGAGGTCGAAGCTGCAGTCCACTTCAGCCTGGATTGGAACACCTTTTGGGAAAGCCGGGCTATGTGCAATTCAATGGAAACGTCAGCTCTAATCATATCATTGTGGGAAAATTCTACTACCACTTCTTCATTCCCTTAAACTCGTATGACAGTTTAGCATGTTTTCACCGGAATCGAACAAGATTGCCTAGCAACCAGAGTCATCAAGAATGTTAACTTATTTATATTCCTGCTATTTAGGCAATGAGTCTATCGGTAGATCCTGAATAAGAATTATAATCTCGTTCATGATTGTATCAGCTTACCCAACCCAGGAGGACACCATCCTTCACCACGAAAAGGCTGTTGGTTCAGATCCATCTGACGCCGTAGCCGACGGGTCTTTATGGATATATGCTTGAGTGTCGACGTCGGAACCGACATGTCGATGCCTTCATTCAGGCCGTGAAGAACTGGCGGTACGGATCTCGTTGCCTCGGCAACCAGCGCTAATCGACGGGGTCTGTAGCAGGGCAAGCAACGAATCGCGCACAGTTGCTGGAGCGGTGAGCGGAATCCGGCCGGGTTGACTTGGCGGTGTCCTTCTACGAGAGTTTTGCCCATTTTATCCTATCGCCTGAAACACATGCACTCGGCCACTTATGACGACGGCGGCATTTCGAGCTACTTGTCTTTAGTGTTGACCCCAGTTGCTAGGCCGTGGTATGATTTTTTAATGCCTCCTCACTTTGTGTTACTAAGCCACTTGAACTGTCGGGCGTACCATGTCCTTTTGGGAAATTGACCATTTCTACTTGGCCTTATTAGCAGGACCAGCCTTCGAGACTCTTCTCGACTGTCCATTCGCAGTTTCGCCTCTCCTCCTCCAAGCCTCACAGTCTCGTCTATTGGCCGGACGCAATCGATCGGGTAGTCAGTACACCACTTTCGCCTGCCAACCAACATGTCGTGCTGTGCCGGCCTGTGCTTTGTGCAATCAGCCCAACCAACAGGCCGGTGGTACGAGTCTTGCCAACTCCTGCCCCCCCTGTCCGTTATCATACACACCCGCCACAACAGCCACACCCATCGAGGCCAACTCCGCCCCACTCAACTTCATCCCACCTTGCCTCGTCCCTTCTTGTGTGGAGATTTTAGGCGGGAAAGTCAGTTGTTTCGACTTTTTCCAGATCCCCTATTGACCGCATCTGAGGACCTCTTCTACGCACAGACCTGTCAGTCACCGCGAGACTCGGGCAATCTGCCCGACCCCAACAGAACGTCTGTGTATGTGTGTATATGCGGACTTGTCTGTCTGGCGCACAAGACGGCCACGTTTGGCCGTCTTGGAAACGGCGGAAACGGAATGAGTCGCGCGCTCCGCGATGCGCCGAACAACATGGACCTCGTGATCGGGCACATGAGTTCAACTTTATAGCAGCATACAACTCACCCACTCTCTCTCTCTCTCTCTCTCTCTCTATCTATCTATCTATCTATCTATCTTCCTCCAAGTCAGAGTAGAGCTACCAACAAAGACCGTCTGGATGTCATCTTTTCTCTGAATATGGTCTGATTTTATGTTTTTCTGGAGCTTAGCGAATCGGCCCCATTGGAAACCGATGGAAGATCGCCATTCAACCGTGACGTCCAGCTTTTGCGAAATTTTCTGCTCCCCATGTTCGGTCCCGATTCATCCATGCTGAGCGTTTGTCTGTCGCGTAGCGACAAGTATCTTTGGCGTTGGTAACCGGTGCTTACGACAAACCAGCCTTAAGTGAAACAAAAACAAGGGATCGGTTGCTATACTTCTAATTGTGTACACTTGCTGAAGCAATATCCCACAGATGTAGGGCTACTTTAGTTAATTAAAGAAAAGGCAGTAATCACATACACAATCGCCTCATTCCTATGCAGGCGTGGTATATGTTGGGATAGCTTTCATTCCGTGTGAAAGGGTATGTTATAAAGAGATTCGTAAGTTGGTCCTACAAGATAATGACAGTTAATTCCGATTGTTCTGCAGTCGTCTGGTGGGATCGACCTACGAATCTCTTTATCAAATACCCTTTCACATTATATGTTACTCATCACATGTGATTCACCAAAAACAGGTTGCCTTTCGTATATACAAATTGTTAAATAAGAAATGCATTCTTCCCGGTTGGCCTAAAGTGATGAAGGATAGATAGTTGAATTTTTCCATTACGATATAATAAAGCCTCGTAATGCAATTGAATGTAACTGGAATGGACCACACTTTATACCTCGACATCGTTCGGCTTACTCACGTCGATGTGGGAAAATTCCCTACCACTTATTCATTGTGTGCGATCTGGGGTGAATGCAACATGTAATGCTAGAATTTAAGCATACTAATTCTGCAAGTGGGTTGACCTAGTTTTCCCAAATTTATGCTGTTGTCAGGACACTAAGATGAACAAACCTTTTGCAAAATCCATTCCCACAGTGGTCATGATAATTTCCAGTCTCGAACCATGGAATTGATGCCTTCAAAACTTCACGGTTGACAGTGAATGTTATCATGCCAAATTTGGCAAAGGACTTTGGAACAGGTGCGTTCATCTAGGTCGCCATGAACCCACGATACAGTTGTGAAAACGAAGTAAAACAACGGAAATTCTGAGGTTCTTCACAACCTTTCTTCAGGCAAAGGCTCACTTCATCCGTGTACGATAATAGACAAGGTTGAGGCGGACGACAATATTCAAAGCAAACCCGGCCTCTCCCAATTTGCATTTTTCTGGTGGATTTTCCATTGCCGTCTTCCACGAGATTACTTATTTTCGTTATAAGTAGGTTTCGATACATTCCGTGCTATAATAAATTTCAAAAGACCCTGTGTAGTATTGCCTCCTGCATAAACTTTTGTGGTTTCCTTCAATACTCAGTCGCCCAATAGATCGAGAGACAACATCGTCATCTGGCAGGTCGAATTTCGCACTACCCCGGTTCCTCTTCTTCACCCCTACGCGCCCACACCACCACCAACCTCCAGCCCAATTGAGTACTAATTTGTCATACTTTTCTAGTAAATGTTACCTCTTCTCAACATTTTTGTATGATAGAAGTGGGTTGACCCTGTTGTCTCAACTTGGTATTGTTGTTGTCAGGGCGACTATGTAGAACGCACCTAGTCTGAAGCCGTCTGCCATAATAGTTGTCATGATTCCCAGCATCTGACCGTGGACTTGATACATTCTCAAGCGTTTCGCCGGCATCGTAGTCGGCATCATTAGTCAGTTTTGCCATTTTCCGCACCAAGCTGGGAACTAATCAGAGACAAGTGAAGTCAATCAATCCCTCGACAAACGTTCAGGGACAACAAGACCAAGTTGCGACAACGAGGTCAAACCACTTCTATAAATCTTGGTCTTCATATCCTCAATACTAATTCAGGATAATATATTCTTTTGTTGGCTACTTAATGCCAGTATAAACGAAAAGTGGTATTGGTTTGATGAGTCAACTGAAAAAACTGATGATGATGATGACCTGCGATGAACATATTTCTTATGCAAGATCTACTAATAATGTCAAAATCTACCAATTATGA